TTACTGAGGATTGAACCCAGGGTCTTGTGTCTGCTAAGTATGCGCTCTGACACTGAACTGTACTCCCAAACAATGCTTAGAAAAAAAAATTAGCTCACCCCATCCTCCTTTGGTAAGGAAAAGGTTAGTCCTGGCTCTTCTTTTCACCTTTGTCTCATCGGTAACAATGCTTTGTGCATTGGCAAGCTTGTAACCAAGGTGTTCTCTCTTCACCTACAGAGTTACAAAATGAATATTCGCTGAGAGTGTGCAAGTGCCACGTACTGCCCTGGGCACTGGTAGAATGGCTCCCCCGCCACAGTGTAGCCTTCTGAAAAGGAATTGTATCTAATTTAACATCTTGTATCCCCAGCACCTGGCAGAAAACCTGGGACACATAGGACACACTGTCACTTAGTAGTATTTAGTCAGCCACTGACGATTTCATGAATGAATAGTAGTTCAATGAGAAATTATGGAAGACCTAGGACACTTTCTTTGAATGTTTTTTGAATGCCCCAATTAGGAAATATCGATGTAGTTGTCCAGATAAAATACAGTTACATATAACTCTTCAAATGCAAATAATTCTTTCTTACTACTCCTGTTTAAATGTCTATGTGCTCTTAAGATTTACATATGAAATCCTTATCTCCAGTGTAAGGGAATTAGCTGATAATTAGGGTTTTGTTTTGTTTTGTTTTGTTTTGGTGAGACGGCTTTGCTATGTGATGCAAGCTGGCTTTAAACTCACTCTGTAGCCCAGACTAGACTTCAACTCTTCCAATCCTCCTGCCTCAGCCTCCTGACTGCTGGGGTTATGAGCTTGTGCCACCATGCCCACATCTCTCTTTATAAGCCCCACCCCCACCCTGTCTGTACAGTTTTGCCCCTGGCAGAACTCATCTGGTTGTTTCCTGCTTGCCAGGAGGTGCCTTCTCTTCCCTTCACTGGAGGCTGCATCGCCCAGGTTCCCCCACATCCAGCTTCAAGCTGGGTACTGGATCTAAAATGTCCGTCAAAAGGCTTATGTGTACAGAGGTGGAGGGGACTGCTTCAGGAGGACACTAAGCTCGGCACAGATCAATCCACTGATGGGTTCGTGGCTGAATGGGTGGGCAGTCGGGAGGTGGGGGAGGTAGGTCACTCCCTGCCAGCCCCTTCCTCTCTCTGGCTGTCTTGCTATTGCTGTCTGCTTCTTGACTACCACAAGTTGAGCAGTTTTCCTCTTCCAGGCCCTTCTGCCATATTGCTGCCTTGGAGCCCCCCACCCCCCATACCCATGGACTAAACCTCCTCAAACCACAAGCCAAAATAACCCTTTTCTCCTTTACACTGTGTATGTCAGGTATTTTGTCACACAACAGAAAGGTGATGAGCACCTCAGCAGGCAGCCCTGGACAGAGGAAAGAAGGAGAATGCCCTCCCATGCCCCCCTGGAGAAAGCTTCTCTAGTAGCAGCTGGTCTCCTCTGTTGTTCTACCCATTGCTCATCAACTGATCCTTTTTCTGGGGTCTCCTCTGCTGCTGGCTGATCTTGACTCCAAACTCTGCTTTTTTCCCCATGAGTTCCAGGGATGAGGCAGCTTCCTGCTGATTCTGTTAGCTCAGTTATTTCACCACCCTACGATCAGACACTTATCTCTCCTTACCTATGTATCAGCTGGTCTTCCTATTCGACCCTCTCTCTTAAACTATCTGGAACACTCTCTTATTTTTCTGGATGGGTTCCTATTTACTGACCTAATGAACAGAGAGTCACAATATTCACACCAATCTTTTTTTCCATCTATTTTTTAAAATTTTAAGGAGAATAAAATAAAACAAAATTTCAAAACAAGATAATAGAAAGGTATCTTTAAATTAGTTACTCAGAGTACAAGATATCAGCATTTAATTGTCCAAACAATATTAGCACAAATCTTTCTTTTCAACCATCTTTTTTATATATGTACATATATATACATATATATATATGATTTTTTCTTTTTACTTTTCTCTTCCGTCTTTTTTCCATTCTCCCATCCCAGTTTCTCTTCTTTTTGAAGTTTCTTCCCATTTTACAATATCTATTATACATTTGGATCTTATTTACTCTTTCAGCTTTTCACACTAAGGAGATAATACCATGTTTACAAATGAGTCTGATTTATTTCACTTATGAGTATGGTCTCGAGTTGCATCCATTTACCTATAAAAGTCTCTAGTTTATCCTTCTTTATGGCTAAGCAGTATTCCACTGTGTAAAGAGACCATATCTTTTTTATCCATTCTTCGGTTGAAGGGCATTCACACCAATCTTGAGGTGCTAGAGGTGTGGTAAACTCCCTTATTAGCCAGGAAAATGGCTGCTATACCATTATCAACCTTTGGATTTGAATTTGTTCCTTGGCATGGTTTTAAGCATCACATGCCACAGACCTTTAAGTTGCTTAGGGCCTGCTGATATTGCAAATAGTAAACCGGTAAAACACCGAGTAGACCCTAAACAGTAGCTACAGTTGCTTTATCCACACAGTGTGCCTGGCACTTTGCTCAACCCCTTGTACACTGGACATGGTCTCTTTTCATTCTCCTACAGGCTGTGGGCTGTTTGTTCTAGTCAAGGTTCTTTGCGGCAAGCAAGAGACACTGACTCTGGAGAGACAGGAAGGCACTCAGGGAATTAGCTAATGAGTTAGGCTGAGGAGCCACGCTGGGAGAGAACTGAAGGCAGCCAGACCCGGCCGAGACTGTGTCACAGAGCGATCTGCGGAGGACGGGCGGCCGGCTCTGGGAACCACCCTACCTTGCTGCGGGGCTCGGCATGAAGCAGACCCTGCAGGGTCCTCTTCCCATGCCCCGCATCAGTGTCTGGGGAAAGCTCTGTCAGCCATGGTGGTAGAGCGCTGGTGGAGTTATTACCACACGGGAAGCCAGCCACTGCTGTGGCTTGGATATGGCTTCAGGGTGTTTCCCAAGCTTTCCTGTAGGGAAATTTAACCCCTATTCTGAGGTATCAGCAGGGTGGAGCTGTCATCTGACTTTGGTGGTTAGAGGTGGGGCCTTCAGGTAGTGATCAGGATTGAAGCCATTGGGCTGGGGTCCCCTGGAGTAACTCCTGGGTTTTTTGTTTTTGTTTTTTGGTCTCTTTGAAACAAGGTTTTGCTATACAGTTCAGGTTGGTCTTGAGCTCACTTTGTAGCCCAGGCTGGTCTTGAACTCACAACGATCCTCCTGCCTCAGCCTCCTGAGTGCTGGGATTACACGTGTGCACCCCCATGCCCAGTGTTCCTGGGGATTTTATAAGAAGAGAGAGAGAGACCTGTGTCTACTGATCCATGAGCCAAGTTCAACTCCATCTATAACTCATCAAGTCTGCACGCTGTGCTGGCGGTGGGGAAAGGGACAGTGACAAAGTCTTCACACTGCCACGCACTCCAGGTCCCCCAACGGCGAGGAGCGAGCCCGGCTACGGACTCTCAGATCTGTCTGAATCCAAAACCCATTCGCTGTCTGCCATATTGCAATGCTCTCTAGTAGGTTCATTTTTTAAACATTTTGATTATGTACACTTGTACATTAAAAAGTCACTAAAAACTACACGTATGATCACGGGAGCCGTCCTTTAATAGTGAATTCAGCTTGAGCATTCACATGCGCTCGCGTACCTAGGTTGTTCAGATGCAGCTGACACAGGAATCGCATGTAGCCTGAAATCTCGCTCCAGAACTTGGCTGGAAATGTCCCGCGGCGCTGTACCTGGAGGAGTGGCATTGGCTTCCTTTCCTTTCCTTTCTCCGGCTCCTTTATATATGTATATTTCTATACGCGGGATGCTTGGGCAGCCTCCTGTTCTAGGAGAGTTGCCCGCGTTCCATTCTCCTTGTTCTCCGGCAGGCACGGCCATGCCAGTGCTTGGCCGGGAACCTGCTAGAATGTGATTATAAGTACTTCAGGCACACAGTTTCTACAGTGCTGGTGTGCTTGTTGACACATTCTTACGGAAACTGGATAATTACACAAAAAGGCAGCACTTGGCATGTGACACTGCATGCTGTGTGTGTGTGTGTGTGTGTGTGTGTGTGTGTGTGGAGAAGCCATGAAACGCGTTCTTCTGGTTTCTATTCTTGACCCGACAACTCAGTGAGTCACCACCGAGTCTCTTTGTTTCCAGTGAGTCCCAAGCCCTCAGCGCTCTCCGGCGACACCTTCCACTGAAGCGCTCAGGACCTCGAGTGAAAGCCACCGAGCAAGTGCCTGCATGTCCCGAGCTCGCAATTCTCCACCTTCAAAAGGGAGGAAGAGCATTAAAGCCCCCTCCACTCTGGGAAAGATCTTATCCGGCTTATCACCAAGAAAGGAAGGCCCAAGAGACCAGAGGCTGAAACCAAAACATGTTTAAAATGAAAGCAAATGCCATGTACTCACTAAGGATGCAGCTTAAGAGAAGCTAAAAAGTAAGGACTGGGCCGGGGACGTAGCTCAGCAGTGCAGAACCTGCCTGGCAAGTGCGAGGTCCTGAGTTTGAATCCCAGGACCCAAAACAAACAAATAAACAAAAAGCAAGGGCCATTATTGCCCCACTTGCATGAATAGTTTTGATGTAGCACAGAAAGAAGTCTTTTGCAAATCCTTTTACGTACTTTAGAAAAGCTTTTGAAAAGCTGTATTTGTTATAATGATTTTCTTAAATATGAATAAAAATGAGATGGGAATGTTATCTACTGCACAGTGTTAGGAGCCTTCCACTAAGGTAACGAAGTATGATCAAAATACACAGTGAATACGTAAATTTTTAAAATTACTACAGTAAAAGGCACATTGCCATTAATCTCCCTGAAAACCCTCCCCCCTCACTTCAAACATATGTATACAATCACTGATCTTTTTTTTTTTTGTCTTTTTGAGACAGGTTCTTGCTATGCTGTTCAGGCTGGCCTTGAGCTCACTTTGTAGACCAGGCTGGTCTCAAACTCGCAACGATCCTCCTGCCATAAAAACAAACAAACAAAAAAACCAAAACCAAAAAACGATCCTCCTGCCTCAGCCTCCCAAGTGTTGGGATTACAGGTGTGTGCCACCATGCCCAGCTCCATCCAATCATTCTTGCCACGCTCTGAAGCACTTCAGGAAGTCCTCTTTCACGGATGTCTTTTCATGGCTGTTCCAATATCTCTGAAAATATTTACTTCCTCACGGTCATTTCCATTCTGAGGAAGAGCTAGAAGTTGCATGATCCCAGGTCTGGTGAATAAAGTGGATATTACACATTTAAAAAAATTTTTTAAGTATTCATTGTATTTTTTATCATACCACACATTCAGGGACAAATGGTGGGTTAGAACACGGGATCACAAGGATAAATAAGCCAGCTCCTGTTGTGGAGCCCACAGTCTGAGGAACAGAGAACTGGGGTACTCAGTGACACCAGCCACAGCTGTAGGGGGAGCTTGTAGATGCAAATACGTAGGCTCTGCCTACCGGTCAGAAAGCTGAGGCTGTCGACCACGCTCTCCAGGAGATTTTGATATTGATCTAAGCTAACAGTTGGAGAGCCGTCTAGATACTGGCAAGCAAGGAGGATTCCAGTGCACCAGAGCCAAGCGGGAGAGCCTTTGTCACTGTACAGCACCACACCAGTCCCTTCCAGGTTGGACTCAGGGATGTGCTGTCTGGTACTTCGCCTGGTCGTGACAAGTGTGTCTTGTCCCTGTGCATAAACTGTAAGAGCTTGCAGGGGCAGGCACGAGTGTGTTCCAGGTGGGGGGATTCGTGGCAATGGGTCTTTGACTGTAATAATTTTTTTTAATGCACGCATTCACCATGATTTTCCACCACACCTTGCCTCATTAGATGGAAGTGTGAAATGACACTAATACACTCCCTCTGTTAAACAAATCTGACACTGAGTGCACACGGGCTAAATCAGGGGCGTTTCCCAACCTGCCCCCCCCCAGAGTGACAGGTGTCCTTTAGCCACCTCCCATGCGTGTCACGCACCCAGCAGGTGTGCGTGCTGGCTCCACCGCGAGCCTCTCATGCAGAGACGGCCCTGTCCAGCAAGTGTCACATCAGGAGCAATTTTTCCTTATGTCTTCTGAGTTTTGCCTCTCATTTTGGAAGCTCTTCCCCACCCAATGAATATCTACGTGCATTAAAAATGGGGACCTAAATTTTTATGGGGTGGCACGTAAAGGGATGAGCTCCTGGTGGCCGCAGGTGGGCTCAGCAGAGGGATGGAGGTCCTGTCCGGGGACTGAGCCGCCTGTCACCTCCTGGCCTCCATGGGTGCTCCTTGCCCCCCCCCACTCCCCAAAGCGCTGTCTTCACAGCTGGCGCTCACTCTCCTCTTCTCCTTTCCAGGACAGAGCTGTGGTTCCCCGGGCTCAGGGTCCAGGCGGTGTCTGACTGTGGGAATATTCGCAACTGGAGTGAGAAGTGACCTCCAACTGGGTATGAACTCCGCGCGCAGCAGAAAGGGAGGAACTGGCCTCGTGCTCAGGAAGCTCGATCCAGCACCGAATTGGTCTGTGACTTACACCTGCCTTATCTGCCACAACAAAAGGAAAAAAGTCTCCCAAAAAGTTGTGGTTATGCGTCTTTAGAGGCGTCATCTTGCAGGGCAGTTTTAGGCTCACAGCAAGGCGAGCAGAAGGTCTGCACTCCGTAAGCGAGCACTTGGTGGCTAGTTTCTAGGTCGTGGATTCACCAAATTCTTTTCTTTCTTCTGCTTTCAATCACGTGTCCCTTCCTCTTGTTGAATTATTTTAGTACTTTCTGTAGCACCTTAAAATGGACAGGGAAGATAAAAAGAGATTTCATTAAATTAGTTTTTCTTCTACTCTTAGCACGGACTCACACTTCACGTGAGGGGCTGGGCTACAGAGGAAGAACATAAAACCAAACTATGTGCAGCCAAACTTTGTCTTAAAAGTTGCTTACATGATTGTAAAACCTGGGAGTAGCCCAGGTGTTGGCTTTTGGTCATTTTCTGTTTGATTTTTCCTCCAGGGTTGAAGCAGAAACATTCTTCAGATGAGGTGACAGATGTGCTACTGAGGGCAGTTATGGGGGAGAAAAGTACTTTTAAATATTCAACCTCCGTTCCATGTGTCAAGGTCAGGACCAGTTACATAATTTGGGGGGGCTGGTACAAAATGAAAATGCAGGCCTCTCTTGTTCAAAAAACAAGAATTTCAAGACAGCGTCAGCGGAACCGTGAGCCAAGCTGAGGGTGCTGCCACAGGAGGCGCCTGGCGCACCTACTTGGGTGGTGGAAGGTTCTAGGAGGCGGCCCTGGCTGAGGAACCGAACCTACCGAGAAGCTTGGAAATCAGATCCACACAGGAAGAGAAGCCGCAGGAGTACTACAGGAGGATGGGGCAGAGGCAGCCCAAGTGTCTGACGGTTCTTTTGTGCTTGCAGCGCCCTTGTCCTCAGGGCTAGATGCAGCTGAATTGGCATAACATTTAACCAGCATGTAATACAGTCCCATCAGAAAGGGTAAATGGGGGAGAGGGTGCATGTTCATATGACAATCACATTTTTGGGTTCTGGGTTTTTCTTTTTTTTCCCCAAGAATTCACTGCAGGTTTTTTTTCCTTTTTTTTTTTTTTTTTTCCATTTGCTGTTTTGTTTTGAAGATGGGGTCCCACTATGTAGCCCAGGCTGGCCTCAAACTGGTGGTGAATCTCCTGCCTCAGCCTCCCAAGTGCTGCGATTACAGATGTGCACCACCATGCCCTGCAGGATTTTATTTTGTAACTGTCTGAGCTCTCTGTGGCACACAGCTTGTTTTTGGGGGGGACCTGCCTTCTATTTCACAGCCCTATATTTTTTCTAAGTGCTTTCATGCCAGGCTGAGAGCAGCCGGTTGGATAATTCACCAATTACAAGTTATTTAACATCGGTGACAGAAGACTGAGTTTCCAGGATCTTTTCTCAGCTCCACGTGGGTCTCTGATGTTGCCCCCCATTTTCTACAAGATCCTCACCACATACTGCAACTGGACTCACCTGCTTTGACAGAAACTGCTTCCTGGTGGCTTTGAGAGCTACATATTTGAGCTTTGCAGGAAGAGTCACAGCCGAGGGTCAGGAATGTCGTCACCAGGTGGACTAGACATCCACTCTGACTCACGTTCACCTGTCCCGAGCTATGTCACAGCACAAAATAACACTTACGTTCCCACAGAGCTCACAAAGAAGCAGTATCGCCGTATGTCACCGTCGCCGAGCCGCCCAGAGCTGGGGGAGATTTCAACAAGTAGCGGTGTCTGAGCGCCTGCTGCACACAGGGCGGGACTCCCGGGCTTCGGGTAACTTCACCCTCACCATGGTCCACCCTTCCGGGAGTAAACGTCAGAGCCGGGGCTTGAACCCAAGAGGGGTCTGCGGCAGCCACCGAACAAATGGATTTCTGTTCTGCTGTGGAATGTGGCCTGTCTGGCTTTTTGTTTTGTTTCACTTTTGCCGTGGGACAGTAGTGGCCAGTTTGCCTCCACAATCCAGACACTATTTCAGCACTAAACAGACAAGCTTCAGTGTGTAGAATCTTCCCTCCAAACCCTGCACGCCAGCGATGTACACCTGGCAGAAAACACTGGCTTCCGCGAGTACGGCCAGGCACAGCCGGTTTCTGCACACCCTGCAGCAGCTCCTAGCAAGGAATCTGCAGCAGGCCTGTGTACACAGGCCCTTGGGCACTGGTTGTTTACACTGGCCAACGTCAAAACTTGTGCAGATCGGGCGCTGCCGAAGCGCTCCACGGAAAGCAAGCTCTATCTTTTGCACGCACGCCAAGTCTTCCAGAGCCCGGGTAGGTGTGGCTGCCAGAAGCTAATCGGCCCATCCAGGTGCAAATCTGGACTCGTGTTTACACGGAGTGGCAGACACAAATGTGGATGACGCGGGGGATGGCTAACACGCGTGGGGACGCCCACTGGCGAGGTGTAGGTTGCTTGTTCCTGTACGTGTGGACGTCGTGAGTGTGGGCGCCCAGCTTTCACTGCCCCTGCAGCTCGGGGTGGTCGGGTACTCCAAGTCACACGCTTGGCCCAGAGCTCCGGGCCTCACCCCAGGTGGCGGACGCAGCGCCCCAGCTCCCTGACCCCGCCCACAACAGACCCCCCCCCAGGCTGGCCCGGTTCCCTGGCGACAGCTTGGCCCCGCCCCACGTTGGCCCCACCCCCACCTCCCCACTGGGCCTCCCACAGCCAGGCCCCGCCCCCAGCCCCGAGCGCCCGGCAGCCCCAGTTCCGTAAACACTCGCGGCCCCGCCCCCTGCCCGGGCCGTACCACTCACCGCACGGAGGGGGCAAACGTGCCTTTCGCAGCCAAAACGCAGTCCAGGCCGAGCCATCCGCAGCCTCTGTGACCCGAACCCGGGGCACCTCTCCGGGTAGTGGGTGAGCTCTGTGAGGGCCCGGTTGCCCGAGCCCGCGGTGCGCCGTGCTCCCCGGCCCGCCGCGCTGTCCCCCCCCGCGACCACTTGGTGACGGTCGCCTCCCTGCGGACCTCAGGGCCCTTTAAATACCGGCGTGGAGGGGGTGGGTAGGGCCTGGACTTGCGGTCTGAGAGTTTCCACACTGTGTTGTACTCGGCGAGGGGACAAGGGGACAAGGGACATCGCACCCCTGGCCCGCGTCGCTCGTCGCCGATCTCCTCCTTTGCGCTGGACCGGTGTGTACGCGGCCGTAGGGTGACGAAGGCGAGGCCCGTGGGGACAGCGCTCCGGGGCGCCGGGGGTCCCCACTCGGGTCCCACTCGGACCTCGTCCAGGGGCGGCGGGATCGGAGCCTTCCGGTTGTTCGTCTCGAGCCCCGTCCCGCACGGAGGGGGCGCGGGTGGCCGCGGGGTGTCTGGATGCCCGCGAGCCTCGGGGTGCGGGGGATCTCGGCGCCCCAGGACCCCTGGGTGCGGGCTGAGCTGGGGGCTGAGTCGAGGAGATCGGGCGCGTGTTAGGAGGTTGATGCCGGGTTCCCCGAGGTCGGTCGGGCCGGGCCGTCCCCTCCCCCAAGGGTTTGTTTTGACAGGAAACGTGGAGGCGACGGGCGGGGCGGAGGAGACCGAGGGGACAGGAGGGGGCGGGGCACCGAGGACATTGGGGGATGTAGACTCTGGTGCACGTCGCTGGGAGTGGGCGGCTGGAGCCCTTCCTTGTGCTCTCGGGGAGGATGGCTTTGTGCTCCCCAGGCTGTCACTCAGGGTGGTGACCCTTACTGATGGCAGGTGGGTGCGCATACCTCTGTGTCTTTGTCAGCAAAGGAAACACTGTTGCAATTGCTCCATGACACAAAGTTTCTTTTGAAATGAGTGTATTTGGATGCCACAGCCAGGTTCAGATACAGGTGTGTTTGCTTAGATCAGGACGGGCTGTGGGTACAGTCCTGGAGTGGTTCTCATCTGAAGTTCAGGGAATATTGTCATGGTGCTTGTCCTGCCGATTTGCCCATGAAGAAATTGGACAAGTTTAGTGCATTGACAACTGGTGGTCAGCTTGTAACACCCAGCTGAACTGAGTAAGCTGGTGCTGGGTTGTGGGAGGCCCACCTGAGGATTGTGGGCATGAGAGGCAGACCTGGAGAAGAAAAAGTTTAGAAGCTGTTGGGGGTTTAGCAGCTGTAGGGAGCTGCTGCTTTTCCCAGAGGACCTTGTCATGCTGGCTTTCTTGATGAACTCCGCTGGTCTTATTGTTGAAGGAGCTAGGGACCTCACTTTCGCTGAGGATGACTGTGGTACCTTTTGGGGGAGCTCTGGTCCTTACTTTGAGCATCGCTTCCTGGCTCCAGTGCAGATCCCTCAGCCTGCTGGCATAGATCCTTCATCCTGCTGGCACAGACTTTCTAGCTTCCACCACTGACCTTTGGGAATTGCCAGTGCAGATCCATGAAACAGGCCTGCATGAGACATTGTCATGGGCTCTGGGCCTCCAGTTGGACTCATGCGGGGCCTTGTTATGGGCTCTAGGTCTTCAGCTGGACTCATGTAGGACATTACGTAGGGATCCAGGCCCTCAGCTGGATTCTTTGGTCTTAGTGTGTGGGCAGATTTCCTGCACTCTTTTGTCTATGACTCTTCGGGTGACTATTATAAAATAATCTTATAATTAAGTGTCCTGCATTATATTGTTTTACCTTGCAAACCCCTGACTACAACAACAAGCTGGCCTTGTCCCTAAGGTCCCTCAGTACCCTGGTCTCTAGTCCAGAGACCTGGCTCTTCCCACCTTTCTGTGGCCTGTCACATGTCACCCCGGCAGCCTGACCAGATGTGGCCCAGGGCTGATGGTGCTGCATCTAGGCTGAAAGCAGCTTCCCTGCCACTCCGAGGGCCTGAGGGTCCCGGGTCCTGACGCAGGCCGGCAGGAGCCCTGGGCAGTGACATCAAGTGTGAGGAGTGTCTGGAAGCCTTCTTCCTGGTGCTGTAATGCCATGTGTAGCATGAACATCTGCTCTTTAGATAGTGACTGGCTTGTCGGCTTCTTCTAGCTCTTTGTTTGCTCCCACTCGATGAAGACCAGTATTGTCAGCTGAGTGGTACAGAACCTCTCTCTGCTCTGTAGGTTTTGCTTTGCTGTGGAGGAGTAAATTTTGGTGCTGTTGTCTGGCTGCAGAGCAGAGATGGAAATTTTCCACCGTCTGCAGCCTTCTCATCAGACCCTACTGGCTCCTTTGGCTGACCACGTGTGTCAGAGTTTGCTCACATGACCGACTTCAGTGTGGTCTGGAAGGATGGTGCCCTGCAGATCACTGATGGCGAACCTTTTAGAGACGCATGCCCAAACTACAACCCCAAACCCACTTATTTATTGCAGAGTGCCAACAGTACAATTAAACCTGAATACCCAGCTTTTAGTTTAGAAAAAACGTTATCCAGTGCCTAGATGCTGGGGTGACTCGGCTTGAGTGCCAACAGAGAGGGCTTCGTGTGCCCGCTGAGGCATGTGTGCGCATAGGTTCGCCACCATCACCCTCGATGTTTCTTGAAGTTTCTCCTTTCCAGTACCTGCTGCTGGCTGGATGGGTTCCTGCATCCTCGGCCTGCTGGGTAATCTAGATAATTCACTCCAGAATGTTTATGACTCATGCTAGCTGTAGGCGGTTCACTCTGGGTAATATTTGGGTTTTAACTAAGGATTTTCAGTGCATAAAGAATGGCTGCCGGATGGAGGATTTTCATTCGCTCTAGGGGCTGATTGAGAGTTATTTTGGATTCTGGGCTCTCCGCGATGCCCTTCACGCTGTAGCACGAGCAGCCACCCCGCAGGACAGGAAGGCAGCTGGCTGCCACGTGTACAAGTGTCCAGTGGTGACGGGCCGGCTTGGTGGGGCGGCAGTGGAAAGAATGATCAGCACACCATGTTCTCTCCAGCCGTCTTGGAGTGGTAGAGAGCGTGGCTTAGGGTTCTGTTCCTGGATTTGGGTCGTGGCCATTGGACGAGCACTGCGATCTCTCTGAGCCTGGGATTCTTTTAAAACAGGGATAATATCTCAGCTACAGAGGTTGTCACCAGGACTTGAGGTGATAAGGTGTCTGACAGACTCACCCCAAGATGGTTACGGTTGCTGCTTCTTTGGACCCTAGTGAGAACCCTGGGGCTGCTCGCTCTGATCATTAGGGTCTGGTGTCAGTGAGGTTAGTGGGGCGGAGTGACTCGGTGCAAACTTTCCTTCAAGCTCCTGGAACTGTGAGTCCTCGGTGGTTTGAATGATTGATGCCTTGAAAGTACATTGTGGTAGTTGCTGGAAATTGAAGAACAGACAGAGCTACTTACGTGAGCAGCCTAAAATGTAGCGGGGAGAGAAATACGCAAACAGCTTATAGTACTGTAAGTGACTGCATAGCAGGCATATGAACAAAGGGACTGGGGCAGGAGGAAGAGAAAAGCCAAGTTGTCTTGTGAATAGGAGTGCGGCTTTGTGCATTCAGGCAACAGTATTCCCTGTGCTCCCGCTCTATCCCAGGCCGGGCTCCGAGCTCCAGAGGGCTGGTGCACATGTGGAGCCTCACGGAAGGTCACTTTGAAGTTGTGACATTAAATTTCAGATCTTAACCACAAGGAGCAACCACATGGAGATTGGGGAGGGTGATATTGGGGGGTACTCGAGGAGGGGTGCTCCAAAGTAGGAAGCTTGGCGAGTCTGTGGAGCTCGGAGAGGGCTGCTGCATCAGAGCCCAAGGGGTTGTGGGGCAGCGGAACAGGATGAGGTAGGCAGAGGTCAGATCACTGAGGGGCTACAAAGGCTTCTTAGGAAAAAGCAATCCAGCTGGGAGTGGCCCCTCAAAGAAATGATTTGTCTGTACCACAGGGCTCCCGCCCTTTTCTTCTTTTGCTATCTGGGCACTGTCCTTGAAGAGGGACACTGGGACAAGTTTGTCCAGAAGAGCTTTTGTAGTAAAGCGGTATCTAGCTACACCGTGGTGGGAATTGTCAGAATCTAAAAACTGAAGAAAGCCAGATGCGATGTCATGTGCCTGTAATCCAGCCACTCAGGAGGCTGAGGCCAGAGGATTGCAGCTTGGGCCAGTCTGAGCGACTTGGCAAGATCTGGTCTCAAAATAAAAAAATAAGATAAATAGTGGTGTGTGTACGTGGTGTGTGTGTGAAATAAGATAAATAGCCGGCAGGCGGGAGGGAGGGTGCACATCTGTAATCCCAGCACTTGGGAGGCTGAGGCAGGAGGATCTTCGCG